TCTAGCAAATGATGTTCATTTGCTAGATAATGATCTACTGGAGGACAAAAATAATAATAATAACTATTAACTATTAACTATTAATTACTATTACCAACCTGGTTTTATATCTTATAAAACAAACATTTTACATTGCCATTGGTCTGAACAGTTGCCGTAATACATCACAGAAAATGTTGAAATGTGGCATTAGAACATCATCAGAACATCCGTGACACAAGTGGCCACACCCTAATTGTGCCCCATTTTTTGTTCTTTTCCCTTTTTGAGGGGGGCATTAGGGTCTATAAGAAACCACAAAACTGCAAGAAATTTGATCAAAACCGAAAACCACTTGCAGAACCGTCTAAACCAATAAATTTGCACATCTCAGTTGTCAAAATCCCAATCGATCTGATAGTGTGCATGCATGGTTACAAGTGGAGCAACATAGGTTTTGCAGCTGTTCAAGATCAGCAGAGGTGTTAATATAACTGCAGCTCAGATCAAAGAGAAACCAGAACCCCAATATGAAAAACTGAAAAAGCATGTTGGATACCAAATCCGAGTACCCAGCCAAAATTTTTGATGAAAACTGAAAACCAAACGCTGAAAATGGAAAATCCACAAAATGCAATAAACAACAAAACCAAAAAACCAAATGAATGTTTTTTGGCACAAAAACCAAATGAATGTTTTTTGGCACAAAAACCAAAAAAATGATCTAAAAAATAGCGAAAACCACAAATGCCAATGCCCCCCTCCTTTTTGCCTCATTTGTGATCTTACTGAACAGTTAAACAGTAACATGGAAGAATCCATTGTTGAAATGTTAATTTTCCTCTCAGAATGGTGATGGATATGTGGACAGTGACACCAAAATGGATAAGATTATACAAGAAATAGATGCTGCTCTGGAGGCTCACTAACCATGACCTTTGGCAAGGTAAATTTTTAGAGTTTGTGTGCACCAAGATTTGAGATTTAATTCAAAAATTGCAGGTATAAAAGAATATATATTCCTCCCCTGAAGGAAGTCAAATAGGAAATGCAATTAGGGAGGAGTTGAGACCAAAAGAAACTCTGCAATTTATTTGGAAAATCCAGAGGGGACAAATATCATGGGGTATCATGTTGTTTTTTTTTTTTTTTAGTTTTGAAAGAAATACTCTAGACTAATGTGCAATCTCTCCTTGTTCTCTTTTATGAACACAGCATGGCATGTACCCGTGTTGTAAAGATTTCTCACGCTCCCCTACTGTTAAGGTCACAACAAGGTGCTTGTTTATTTTATTTATCCAAAAATTATTCACCTATTCTTCTTGTGTACTTTTGTTTCAGTTTGAACCAGCTCTTTGTTCCAGGAAGATGACCTTGAATGATGGGGGCAGCTTAAAAACATTATGTTTGGCTGACTTCTTGAGGAATTGCAGTGATTTCATCTAGTGGAACTGTGGCAAACCCAATGAGCTTGCTTCTGCCCTGAGTTTTGGTAGTTAAAATTGTGCAGTGTTCATCTTAACTTTTTCTAACAATTGTATGTCAAGCTTTCAGAAAGATTATGTTATATTAATTCTGTAGTTACTCTGTGGCTGATGTTAATTGTTTTCATTATTCACATCTAATAAAAGAGGGCTGTTTCTATTCTTGGTGTCATTTCTGATGCAGGGTGTGGTGGGGAAAGAAGGGGATTGGAGACAGGGGTATGGAAGAATAAAGGTATGAGAAGAACTAGAGAATTGGCAGAGAGTGGGAGACAAATGAAATTATCATTCAATGGATTTCTCCCCATTTTCATAGGCTGGGAGCCCACAATGTGACCTGCAAATAACTGCCTGCAAATAATGGTCTGCTCATGCGAACTACCATCTAACTCCGTTTTTGCTGCAAATAATATTCTGCTCATGCGCAGTAGTAACCACGCTCTTGTGGTTTCAAGAAAACCGAAAAAATTGACTTCTGGCGGCAGTGCGCGCTTGCCACTTCCCCAAAAAATTGAAAACAAAAGCGGTGATCAAATGATAAAACAATTATTCAACTCGGTTTTTGCAAAATATCGTGATTTGTCAGTGTCTCGCAAATCAATTATTTGCCTCGGCCTTCGGCTTTGGCAAATAATTGATCTACTCGCCATGGACAAATCACAATATTTTGCTCAACCTCGTCCAATAATTGTTAAACATTTGTTGAATGATCTACCTCGATTGGGATCGCCACCTTTGTCGTGCCGGGGTGGCTTGCTTTCCCCAGTGACCCCTAGAGGTATGTTGGCTGGAGTCTTGCACTCCTTGCAGGGACACCCATGCCAAATAGGTCAAAGGGTAAGGGCCAGATGAAGAGTGATCCCACTGGCCTTCCAGGTTGGGGGTTGAGTAGAGGGCTGATAATTAATCCTCTCCTGTAAAAAAAAAAGAATTATTACAGAAACCAGAAGAAGAGTGAATTCACTATTTCAAAGGGGAACTGTGGCAGTACCTCATAAGAGAGAATTAATGAAGCACAGAAGCCAAAGCCAGCAGGACGCCTCCGGGCTGATCAAGCCACTGTTAAAGAAAGGTGAGAGGCAGGTTGGAGGTCGTGGGAGGAGGTGCGGACTGCAGCAACCAATCAAGAGGAGTGGAAAAGCTCTATGAAGGCCCCATGTGCCACGAGGCATGAAAAGCATTGATGATGATTTGTTGAATAATAATCTGCTCTGTTACGCCATCAGAGGTGGAAGACAAGAGCACAGTTGGTGGAAGGAGTAGAATCCTCCTTGGAAATCTTTGTTAAAAAACCTGACAAGGTCTTCAAGGAAAAGGTCCGAAGGCTGTAACTAAATTTTAAGTTTCTTCTGCAAGTATGTACCACCATATGACAAAATTTCCTTCTGCCTCATAAAAAGAAACAATAATCCTAATTTGCAAAGAATATAGCGGGTTTTCAATAGTTTTGCATTTTTCAGTGAGCCTTTTTTCCACCCGGCCATTACAGCAGAGGAAATAGGGCGTCTCAGTTGGTAGAGATATTCTCCAATGTTAGTTAAGAACCGTAACCTCCCACTCTGCCAACCTCTATCCCCCACTCACTCCACCCCGGCTCACTCCACCCCATGCTATTGCCTAGGAATCAGTCAGACTGCATTAAACGCGAACTGATTTATGGGATAATAAAGATCTCTGGATGCGCTTTTTAGAAAGCTGTGCCTCAGACTTACATGCATAAAACATTAGTCTTTGCACTGTGCTAGTCACTCAGTTGCAATATGTTGCAATATGTTTGCAGGAGAAAAGATATTGAACAAGTCAAATGAGAAGTACTGGAATGGGGAGTGTGGGTACGCAAGGATTTGTTCAAACAATATTTTGTGAAAATATTTTCTGACTAATTTATTGGGAAAATGTTAAAAATGTACTCAGCAGGAAGGCACATACCCACAGCCTAAAGTAGGGAGCATCTTTTACCCCTTCCCCACACAGAAAACTGATTTGCATACAGCTCTCTAATAATGTTTTGTTTCTTAAATTACATTTTTTTTCATATTTTATTTTTCAAAGAGCTGGGACCACCTGATTTTGAAGTAGCTGAAAATGAGGCTATAAAGCTGAAGGTACAGGTGTGTTTGATTCATATTTCCATCTTTATT